TATATATATATATATATATATATAGCTGATGTTGTTAAACTAATTGATGTTCTGATAGCTGTAACTGTTTACTATTCTTAAATTTTTGTATATGTATGTTGTTTCTTTCACTAGCTTACCCTTGTTGTTTCCATGTGGTTTGGATTGCAATGATCATACTATGTATGGGAGCAGGGCAAGGATAGGTTGGTGGCTTGTGGCAGGTCTGTAGCTGGCAGATAGAGCTTACTTCTTATAGATGTTTTGTTGTTTTAGCTACTTGGTGTAGTAGCTCTGGATGTATTTTTGTACATTTTGAATCTAGTCAGACTTGGACATGTATATATGTATATTCTAGGCACTATATGTATACACTTGTTCTTTTCTGTCCGGTTTCAGGTGTACGGTGTGGTGTGTAGTGACCAGCTGGGTCGTTACAGGAAATGATAAAAATAATAAATTTTAATCAATAAAAATTTTCACATCTCATATAAATACAATGACAAAAGTGAACAAAAGGCTTACATATAACTTGTTAAAGAGTATATGATGTTATTTCCTTTTTTTTAGAGGATGTTATTTCTTTTTTAATATTTAAAAAATTAAAATGGAGTATGTGAGAAAATAAAGATTTTAGATGAAGATAAATCCAAATTATATATTATTTGTTTAAAAAATAGTTATTTTTTAATATATATAATTTTTCCCCTTAATTTAGAAAAGTTAGACTTTCAATACTCTATAAAAATATTTTTATGAAAAAGTGAAATCGAAATAGTCTTTAAAAATTATACCTCGATTTTTTTAAAATATTTATTAAATATAAAATATCAAGATTTTAAATTTAAAATTTATAAAGAAAGTGTATTAAATATCCCTTAAGTTTTTATTTATTTATACTTTTATAATTTAATATGTATGATTAAAACATTTTCTATAATAAGTAAAATTTTACAAGATAGCTAACAATTACATTATTATATAATATCAAATGTATAAAAATATTTTACAAAATTCGATGAATTATAAACAAAATTTTAATTTTGAAGACTAAATTAAAAAAACTTAATTGTATATTTTTAATTTAAAGATTTAATTGAAAATTTAAAAAAAAAATCATAAACATGATGGGTAGTTTTAGTTTTGAACTTTTAGAGTTTGTGAAGAATAACAAAATGAGAAAAGTAGGAGATGGATAATTGGGTTTGATGGCTTCTGGCCCACTGACATCCACGTGAGCATCCTTATTTCTGACTATTGGATTCTGAACGCTATAATCGTACGGTGATAAGAGTCTCTTGGAAACCCGATGTTGATGGTTGGCGGTGCCACATAGGACGACAATGAGAAAAAAGCAAAAGAAAGGAAAGAGAGATGTTACATAGGATTTTAATGTGGTGGGTCCCTACTTGTTGCAGATCAATTGGTTTTGGTTCCCTAACCTTAACCAGACCATCTAGCCCCACACCAAGAATATGATAAAATATTAAAATCACAACCATACTCTTATTCCTATTCATTATCAATACTCCTACTAATTTATTTATTAATATAATAATATAATATTATATGTTTGACTCACTTCTCACTTTGGGAACGCAAACCACCCACTTCACCATCAATCACCATTCCATCTCCTCCTCCTTATTCTCCTCATGTCTTTTTCAATATTTATCTTCAATTTTAATTTTCCCCCACACCAAGATATTTTTGTGTCACCTCCTTTTTTTTTTAATTTATTTTCAAAAACTAATTATTTTCTCAAAATAATCACCTTAAACATAAATAATTCTGTAGTGAACTCCTCCTCTTTTCTGAGATGGTTGTCTTAAATTGCAAATAAAACATGTTAAATTATTATTATGTGTACATGTGCTTTAGTAGTTTTTAAATATGAATAAAGAATAATATGGTTGTATTTTTTTTTCTTTACATATAATATACAAATCATAAGATTGACCATTGACTGGTACGCCCAATTAAACTGAAATATATTCAACAGCATTCAATGAATACTTTAATGGATTAACAATCTTTTTTTATTCATTAGTGTATTAACAATCTATGTATGTCATTGTCATCACGATGTTTTTAAAAGAATTATATAAATGAATGAATAAGGCAAATGATGCATTTGAAATGATACAATTAAACTAACTAATTATATAGATAATTTTTTATATGATAACTCAAGCAGCGAGATTAAGCAACCGAATTAAAAAAATTAAAAAATCTCAATCTTGCCAACTTAGGTAGACATGGAAGAAACGAGAAGAATTCGCTAGTTTCGTAATTTAATTTATTTAGACACTGCGATAATGGTGTCAAATTTTGTGACCTACAACTACAAGATCAAATGCATTGGAAGCTTTTAAAATTTATCTATTTAATCTATATATCTATATTAATAATAAAAAATATCTCTCTTTCGGGATACATATCTTTAGAACTATTTATAAATTATATGTAAATCATTTTTTATTTTCTAATAATTTTAAATTATTTATTCCTCTATATAACTATTTACTAATTTTTTTCTTTTTTCTTTAAACAAAGAGGAACAAAAAGTTCTTTTTTTTTCTCTCTCTCTTACATATATAAAACCAATACTTTTTTTATAATTTTATTTTAATCTCTACTTTTTTTGACACATCTTATAATTTGATTTCCATAATTTTTAAATTTACTCACTTTTTGTGTAAGGAAAAATCACACTCTCTCACTAACTTAGTGAAGAATAGGAGGATTGTAAGATTGACATAATATGCAAGAGAGTTTAAGTTTGAATCCAAGTGTGGTCATTATATATCCAAATAAACGTTAACTATTTATTTTTGTAATTTCTAACTTATTTTCATAAACTATATGAAGTAATTTACAAAATTATTTAAATTAAGTTATAAAAATAAACTAGCTTAAAAGTTAATATTTTTGTTTTTATTTTTTTAATCTCATTAATTAATTAAAAATATTTCTTTACCTCAAATAATTAAATAATTTTTATTTATCAGTTAATCTTATCCAACATTATAATATTTCGTTTTAAATTCAATTAATTAGTTTATAAGTTTTCAACTTTTCAATTCTTAACTTATATTTTATAAATATTTAACTAGTTTACCGGATAGTTTTACTTAATACACTCTAAGTATTTTGTTTTTGCTTGTATTGTCTTCGACATAGGTTTTTGTTTGAACATTTTTATTTATAATTTTATTATTATTTAACTTATGTTATGTTTACCTTTTAAATAAATATATAGGCGCATGTTACCTCTTTTCTATTAATTATAGTAAAATATGTATAGGTGAGTTTATGCATATAAAAATATAAATTGAAAATTGTAGACACTAGCCACTCAATCCTGTCACAATCGGTGATCCTCATCCATCCTGATTTTTAATATATATAATATTTAGCTATAAATGAATATAAGAACTCTTGGTAGTTTATGAATAGTACTGCTTCTGCTTTATATTTTATATTTTATATATTATATATTATTCACCTCCACCCAACTGCACCCCACTACGCCTGAGCTGGGGCCACTTCTCACCTGAGTGTGCCGACGCCTGCGTACACGCGCACCACAAGCGCGTGAGCATGGACTAGCCCAAACGAATTTATTATTATTATTGAAAGAGGAAAAGATATAAATAAAGTGAGGCACGGGCACTTTAAGTTGCCATCGGACAACAACTTCTCTGCCATGTTGGCACTGCGCCCATCCAACGGCCTCCGCACCGCCGAAACCCTCATCCGCAAATCACACCCGTCGCTTCCTGCGCGACTCTCATGCGTCCACACTGAAACTGAATCATTTAACCATTTTCTCCTTTTCCACACGCATATGAAAAAGGCAAAAAAAACACATTATTAATTAATTAACCAATTATTACATTTAATAATTATTATCCCTTTAAATAAAGCCAACAGAATGAAAATTAACAGAAAGAAAGAGAGAGCATAGAAGAGAAGAGAAGAGAAGAGAAGTGTGAGGATTGAGCGCCGCCGTTAATGGCGGAATTCTGGTGACGCGCCGCTGTGCTTGTTGCAGACTGATTTTTATCAGCGAGTTTGATTACATGAGAGAAGCTAGAAGAAGCTCATGGATAGAACCAGAGAATCCAGAAAGTCATCCATGGCCACCTCCACCAACGGATTTCCTAAGCGCAGACATCGAACTATTGCTCTCAGAGACTCTTCCGGTATCATCACGATTTCTTCTTCTTTATCTTCTGTTTCTTCTGTGTGTTGTTTCCCACACTGTTTTTGTTCCCTCACAGAGGAAGGAGCTGTGGAGTTGTTAAGAGAAGGTGCGAGTAAAAGAGGAAGGAATCGCGATAGGGATAGGGATAGGGATTCGGCCAACCGGAACAAGAGGAGGAGAGGCTCTCACTCGCAAAGCACCGAAGACAGCGTCGGAAACGAACAAGGCGACGACGTTGTGGACGCCGGCGCTTCTAAGATCCGTTCCCCGAATAACACGATGTCGTTCGCCGCCGATCAGAACCATCGCCGGACTTTCGCGCCGGCGAAGCCACCGCCGTTTAAGATAACGGAGGAGATGATCGGCGTGACGGTTCCGAGGAAGGCTCGTTCAGGTTGCGACGATATGAATACTATTTGTTGTTTTTTTCATTTTGGCCTCTCCGAGACCTACTTTTACTTTTTTTTTTTTTTTCTTTTTCTTTTGTGTGTGTTTTTTCGGTGTTTGACGTGTTTTCCCGCAGCTTCTGCGAAAAGGTCTCACGAAAGTTGGGTTTCCGCAAGCGGCGGTGGCGGTTGCGGCGGCGGGGAGGAGCTGAATCTCCGGCAACGGTCGAATTCCCCCGGAGGACATAGCGTTGAACCGGCCTCGCCTTCTTCTTCGAGTGTTTCTGTTAGGAAGAAGATGGTATGCGCGAAATTTTGTTTCTGTTTCTATTTTCGGGATACGATTTAATTTAGTTTTGGGAAGGATTGAGTTCTGAGATGTGTATTATGTTGCAGAAAGAGATTGAAGTTGGTCCTAAGACATCAAAATCGTCTTCATCAGACATCGAGATTGAGATAGCTGAGCTTCTGTACGGTTTGAAGACATCAAAGAACCACGACTCTTCTAAAAAGCTTGAAGCGAGTGTCAATCACCAAGCTTCTGTGTCTTGTCACTCTGAGGATGTTGGTGGGTTTCCGTTTCTGGAGATGTTTTCTTTTATGTGCATGTTCTTCCTCCTTTTTTTCTTTTTTTTTTTTGACTTTTTTCGTTGACATATTTATCTCAGAGAAGAAGAAAATGGAAGAAAACGATTCTTCCACTATGGTTCTGAATAATTTAGCTAAAGAGTTCGTTAGAATTCAGAGTGAGCAAACTGCTGATGTGGATTTTCACGATGGTCACGAAAATGGACCATCAGAAGCTCCGAAAGAGAACTTTGGGGAAGACAAAATGATTTCAGGTGCTGGATTTGGGGATGCTTCGGCCGATGGAAGATCGGTCTCCCCTACAAGGGAATCGCCATCGTGCTGCAAGTTGGATGCTGATAAACAGGATTCAGTTTCTAGAAGAGTGTGAGCACCTAAGAATTAATAGTCTTTGTGTTTTGCTCTTGAGTATACATATTTTGTTATCTGATCAGTGTCCCCATTTCGTTGTGGCTCAATTTATTAGGATGTCTGCTGTTTCAGAGGCCAAAACCCAACGAGTAGGCAAGTTTGAGATAGATCTGATGGTGAGGATCCTAGTTGTTCGCTTCCCGGTTATATTTGCCTTTGTTTTTACTGTCAAATATCTGAACAAGAGTGGCTTTCCAACAGGCTCCTCCTCCTATGGGGCTGTCCCCAGAAGGAGATGACTTGTCAAGGGGTGATTTCATATCAGAAAATAAAGCTTTGGCACTGGATATTGAAATGGTGAGTAGGTTGACCGTAAATTTTGACTTTTTTTTACTTGTTCATTTCTCTGTTCGTACTCCAACTTGTCAGAATTTGTGATATGCAGAAGAGGGAAAATAGTGTCAAGTTGGATAGACCAGTTAAGAAGGAGAAAACTCTGGAAGAAATTGAAGAGGCAGAAATGATCTCATTTAAGGAGAAGTTGGATGTGCTAAAACATAATTTGGAGAAGCTAAACAATGAGAATGACATAAAGACGAGCAATAAATTAGAAGAGCAGGATAGAAATAAGGAGCTACCTACTATATCATCAAATCCCAAAGTTGAGAAAACCGGTAACTAATTTGATGTTTTTGACTTTTTTTAGGTATTTTTTTTTATTCTGATATGAACCATATGTCAACTCTGATCGTGACCCATTTGTTAATTAGAAGTTTCTAACGTTTCTTTTATTCTTCAGCTCAATCTACTTCAATGCCTTTATCAACAGCTGAATCAGGACGGCCAAGCAGTCTCTCTCCTATTGGGTATTAGTCTATGAACATCACTTCCCTAGGAATATGCCTTTTCTTCATTCTTGTACTTCTCTAATTTTACTTTATGTTTGGTCATACCAATAATGTGACTTTGCTAAGGCCGATATCTATGATTGGCAGATACAAGCCGCCCTTGCAACCAGTTGTGAAAACGAATAAAACGACAGGAACTTCGACACCACAGGTACTATAATTTCTCACAAAAATTTGTTGTTGTAGTTATACTTATGTGAGTCCACTATTTATTCTCAGAGTGGCAATATAATAACTTCCTACCTATCTATATAGTTAACAATACCATGTACATTTACTTCATAATTCAAATGTGCAGCATGTAAATTTTGTTCTCTCTCAACCACGACCAAGCAGATGTGCAACCCATTATTACATTGCTTGTAACATTTTACACCAGCAGTTTACAAAGCCGAAGCCCCCTTTACCAGTAGCCATTTCTGGTTCTTTGGGTGGCACAAAACCCAACAACGTCCACTGTGTGCCTTCTGCAGAAAGTATGGCCGTCGGGAAGCAATCTCAAAAACAATTGCCAATTGTAAACCAAAATGCAGCACAGGAGAAAGGGTGGGCTGCCACCAGCAATCCTAGTCTTACCGCAGCCAAAACTTTTAATAATGCCAACCCAGTGGATTCAGCTCATAGGGTGCAGCTTGTGCTCCAGCAAGGTCCAAATCCTGGGTCAACCAGTAATCTAGTGGTATAGTCTTGTCATTGATTGGTTATATCTATTTTACTGATTTTATGAATGGTTCTTGAGATTTCTCACATAGTAGGATACGGTTTTTGTTGTATTGATGGCTCTTATTTTGGAAAGTAATGTACTTTAACTTTGAATGTAGCATGGTCCTGCTTTCCTCTATCCTCCTGGTCAGCATCAAGCATCAGTAACAGCAGCTACTAATCAAGCAGGAGCTGGGAATTCCCCTAACAGCACTTCCTCATATAATAAATCCCACAGTTCAGTTGGTGGATCTCTGGGTACCTCCTCGACTTTGCCAGTAGTTGCTCCTGCAATAAGCTTTAGCTACCCAAATTTTTCAGCTAATGGATCTTCTCCATATATGACAATAGTTCACAATAACGGGTATTCATTCCCCTTTTCAACTTCTCTTGGAGCAACTGCAGCAATCAGAGGTGCAAGCCCTCCACAAGCAACACATGTACTCAACGTACCTTTCTACTCTTCTCAATCGTTCCATCCACAACAGCCCCCTCAGTCACAAGCACTGGTTCAACCAAGTTATCTTAATGCAAGCACGTCAAGTAGTTCATCATCTCATAAGCAGTCACAAGGTGCACAGGTTAATGGCAGTAACGTTTTGACCTCTACAACTATGGAGCAACAGTCACAAAAGAGGCAAACATCACTGTCTCATCTTCGTAAGCACGAGACTGAGATGGGTGGAGGGAATGCACCTTTAGTTGCTAATCGAACTTCTTACCCACAGAAGAATGTGCATGGACAGAACTTTACAATTCCAGTTCAGCCAGTGAACTTTTCTTTCAAGCCATCTACTTCATCGAATACTGTTGTTGGCAATGGTGGAACTTTTGGAGACAAACAGCAACAGCAACAGGCTTTAAAGGGAGGAGTAGAGAATATACCATCTCAAGCATTTGCAATATCATTTGCTGCATTCAATGGGACCAGTGTTCCTTCAAACCTTAACTTTTCATCCATGGCACAGAATCCTGTGATACTTCAGAGCCTGCCTGATATTGCATGGCAAGGATATCAAGCTGCAAGCACACCTCAGACTACTCAGCAAAAGAATTATTCAATTACTGAGGCGAAGAGTGGAGGAAATTCTTCACACCAAGATGATGAGAAAAAAATCACTCATGCCAAGTCTTCGAGCAATGGGCCAACCACCCTTGTTTTTGATAATTCATCGAAGAATCTTAACTTTGTGCTATCCTCTACGAATGGAAACTGGTCTGGTCACACCATTGCCTCAACTGCAATGACAAGTGTGCCTCTTTCTAGTAATGCTTCAAGTTCCCAACAGCCACAGCATTTACTTCAGCTTCCGAAGCAGCATGCTATGCAACAGCAGCAACCTGCTATGACAACACGATATAAGCCATCATCCACCAATAGCACTCCTGCTACAAAATTTGCAAACAATGCCCCTGTTTTCTCACAAACTCTTACTCAGTGCAAAAGTTCTAATCAAGCTTCTCACACTAAGGCCTCGGGTAGAACTACAGATTCTCATGGTCATCACTCATCTATCATAGCATCTAATACTCCAACCCTCAAAAACTTTTCTCAGGAACAAGGGAGAGTTTTGCAGGGTCATATGCAAATTTCTTTTGGGGGAAATTACATGACTTCCCTGCCACACCAAGGGCAACAACTACTCAGTAACAACCAGCCTTTGTGTACAACAGCTGGTGGCAATGTGAAGTCAAATTCGGAAGGAAGTAAAGTTAGTTCGACAGTGAACACTTCACAATTGCAGCAAACTGAAAATTCTGCTGGGAGTGGCCAAAAATCTTCTCCAGTTTGTGGGAGAAATGTTCCATCAATTTTAAGCTCATGCCCCAGCCAACTATCAGAGCTAAAGTATTAGAAGCCAAATAATATACTCCAGCAAATTAGAAAGAATTCTCTGCAATTCCTCTCATAATCTTTTGTAATCATATGTTTTGGAGGCCGTTGCTGCTTTGCTAGTCTCTGCTTCATGTTCAAGCTGCAATTTATATATGCTACAGGATAAGATTGAAAAAAAAACTGGTAGCTTATGTCACATTTGTGGAAGGTGCGAATGGTGGTGTCATAGTAGCCAGATGCTGGAGTTTCTTGCAGCTCTTTCCTGAGGTGGCAATGACACGAGAGGTGCGAAAGCAATGTTGACGGGACACATTGTATATGACATTTGCTGGGGTGATGAGTGGATTGAGAGGTAGTGAAAGGAAGTTGGGATCCATTAGGCCTGCAATTTTGAAATAGTAGGTACCATTATCTTGTCAATTTTCTTGGTTGGTTAGCTTCTGGAAGGCCTTTAAATCTTCTTAGGATCCAATTAATTTGACATGTTAAGACAATTCTATTATGTGTATATATTATGATATTTTTTTTTCACTCCCATGGTAAAAGATGTACTTACATTCATTTTTTAATGAAAAAACCTGCAATTATTTCTTTTAATTTTGTTGTTAACAGAGGGTGTATCGTTTGGACATTGAAAGATCGAGACTTGAGAGAGAACACAACAAATGAGAATGCAAAATATCCGGGAATGGTTCCTCTCTTTTTCTATTTGGCGTTTTCTTGTTTCTTTCCATGTTGCTTGATTCTTTAATTCAATGCAGCCTCAATTCCGTGAAAACTCAGCAGCTAATATTCCCCGCTATGAACACCAAAACATGATATGATAATAACCAAGTGAAAGAAAATGACTTTACCTACAAGATGATGATCCTTATCGATTGTCATTTTTCTCATGAGGGCCCTTTTCATGTGTCGCTTTTTCTTTGGTACAAGCATATGTTGCTTTTATTTCAGACTTTTTTGCCATGAAGGGACAGGTCCTTTGCATGGAGTAAGAGTTAGAGCAAGACTGAGCGAATACAACAGTTTCCTTTGTCGACTGAAAATCAAAGTTTGGACATGATATGCGCAAACAGTCTATATAACGTGACACTTTGTCTGATGGATAAGGGAATCAAGCCTATTTATGGTTCTGGTGTGTTTCAGATCCTAGATGTCTCGTTTGAGATCATTGTCCTAGGAATTGGAATATATATAAAGGGGTGATCCTTATAACAAGAACCATCGAGCATGTGTAACTAGGCAAAAATTTGCAATGAGTACAGTTACTTTGAAATTGAAAGCCACTGTCACATTAGTTTAGTTCCTTTAACTTACTTTCACTTTAGTCTCTAAATATATGATAATATACTATCACTTAAGTAACTTGTTATTTTCAGATTTTGAGACCGATGAATAAAAGGAAGAACCCTCAATAACTTCCGACAAAGCATGTAAGCTATGTCAATAGAATTGAAGCACAATATAATGAACCAACTTAGCATCATTGGAAGCGGTTGATACCCATGTAAGTTTAAAAATAACGAAGATCAATTTTTAATAATAAACTATTGGCTTAAACAATAATCCGGGACACATGGGCTAATAAAAATGACATGACATGGGCGTATATGTACAACGGGACAAGTAGTTTTCAAGTGTTGTTGTTTATAGTCCAAGTCCATGTTGCCGCCAGAAAACAATGATTAAACTTGTTACGTCAACTAATAGCTATTTCAATTATGCGAAAGTATTTGGTTCACGTAATCAATCATTTTGCGTAAGGAACCTGAAATGTCTCGTTCTGATTGGAAATAGAAGTTGGAAAGGCTCCTCGCACCGGGTTTTGTGCAGCTGTCCTCCTCTTGACAATTCCATTTCTTGTCTCGTGCCCAAAAACAGGAACCTAATATTCGTTTACGTTCATCGAGGATATCAACGATGCATGTAAAATACATTCAAGGACAAGTAATACAAAAGCCAACAACGTTGATTAATCGTTTATGAGTGGACTCATCCCTCACGAGATTCTGAGTTCGATGTTGTAGATATGAAATAAGTTCATAACAACTAACTCTAATTTCTAAATCTTAAACTCAACTCATTTTGTTTCCACGTTAGAGTTTTACTCGTGAATAATTTATAAATTTTTCTATAAGTGTTCTTTCAATTTTAAATTTTGACGTGATCACAATGAGTTTTCAAGACTTAACTTATATAATTTTTTTTATTTACCAAAAAATTCAATACAAAAAATAAGGTTTTAAGCGGTTCTCATGAAAAACATGGTTTAATTACCAAATTCATAAATATTTTACGTTATTTAAATGATGGTGGCTAGTGAATGTGGTCCACTACGAACTATTACTTTTAACTATTTCTACCATAAGATTATACCATGGTCCCTCAAAACTAGATTTTTATTTATTTATTTCTCCCTATCTTTTCCACATCCCCACATCTTCCCTTTCTCAAGCGTTTGCCATCGTCAGTGTTGGCTTCTCCAATGAAAATCATGCGAGTTGTAAGTGACAAGCATAATCTAGTCGACACTAATCAAGGTTGAAGGAAATCAAGTCTATCAAGAGAAGATATTTGAGAATTGTTTTCCAAAAAAATCTTATTTTATCTTTTTCTCTCCAATTCCAAACCATAAATTCCATTGCAATTGCAAATCAACTGTGACATCATTGCCATTAGCAGGAGGAACAAAACTCGGAGCAAACCCAACAACATGAATTAGACAACAAATACGACGACAATAAAAATCACAACATATAAAATATAAGACTTAACTTACCATGTTAACCCCGCAACTACCCCAAAAATAATGTGGAGGAAAAACACACAAAAGACTTTTAAAAAATGGTGTAACTTTTATAGCATGGAAATAAATAAGTAAAACAGTTAAGGTGATTCATAAATAATATGTTGATAGTTTAGAAATTAAACATTCTTAATTAAATTCTCAATTGATGTATTTTTTTTTGTGGTAAAAATAGGAAAGATTACAAAGATGGTCGCAATGAAGATTGAACTTAGGTCCTTATACTTCTAATTATTCCAACCCCTCCCCACCAAACTACTAGGCTAACCCTAGTGGTTCTCAATTGATGTATTTAATCTAAAATATTATAATTTATAATTAAATTAAATGACAATAATAATAATTTGTCTTTTATAATTATCCATATTTAAAATCGATGTAATTTTATAGTAAATCATCATTTTTTAAATATATATTTCGTAATGATTTAAAATATTTTACTTTAAAATTTCATTTCATTTCATTTTATATTACTTTATTTTTAAAAAAAAATTATGGGCATTATCGGGATAAAACAAACACTAGTTTGGTACAACTTACTTGCATTAGATAAGGTCTCCCCGATAATTTTCATATGGACCTCTTTTTTCGAGGAGGGGTAGTTCGGAATCAATAAGGAGATGACATAAGAAATTCTGTTTTAGTAAATAAGAACTAATATAAGGTTTATGTATATACACCTCCACATATGATAAGTACACTTTTTATAAATAAAAAAATATTAAAATATATTTAATTTTTTATTTTTAGTTATCTAATATTCAATTTAGTACTTTTTTATTTTTTACATACATTTTTCTCTTCTTTTTTTTTGATTCATAATATATATATCTTAAGTACACCTCTATTTTTTTTTATAATAAAAATAGATTCTTGAAATATCATAGTAGAAAATTATAAATTAAACATTAAAAATTAAATTTAAAAAATATACAGAATAAAAAATTAAAAATATTTTAAAAAAAATGTACTTATAAAAAAGTGGTGTATATATATGAACCCTAATATAAAAAGCCCAAACATCATGGATCTTTATAATCCATAACCCGCTATTGGGCTAAGGTTTGTTTCGCCTTAGATGGACTGAATCGGAATTATCATATATAGATACATATTCGACAGTTACACTATTTTATACAAATGGGACGACTATTTTGTATAAGAATATTTTTTAAATTATATATATATATATATATATATATATATATTAATAAAGAAATAAACACTTGTATGCTTATATACTTATCTTTTAAGAATTTTGAAAGAAGAAAATGATCATAGAAAATAAAAAAATAAATATTGAAATCTAAGAAAAGGTAATCTGATATATTAATAAGAGTGAGTAGTTTTTTTAAAAATAAATATAAAAAATATATAAAAAAAAACAAAATTATAAAATGTTTGATATTGTTTTAGTGGTAAAAGTTTATTGTCAAAAATGAAAGAAAGACAACAAATACGACGACAATAAAAATCACAACATATAAAATATAAGACTTAACTTACCATGTTAACCCCGCAACTACCCCAAAAATAATGTGGAGGAAAAACACACAAAAGACTTTTAAAAAATGGTGTAACTTTTATAGCATGGAAATAAATAAGTAAAACAGTTAAGGTGATTCATAAATAATATGTTGATAGTTTAGAAATTAAACATTCTTAATTAAATTCTCAATTGATGTATTTTTTTTTGTGGTAAAAATAGGAAAGATTACAAAGATGGTCGCAATGAAGATTGAACTTAGGTCCTTATACTTCTAATTATTCCAACCCCTCCCCACCAAACTACTAGGCTAACCCTAGTGGTTCTCAATTGATGTATTTAATCTAAAATATTATAATTTATAATTAAATTAAATGACAATAATAATAATTTGTCTTTTATAATTATCCATATTTAAAATCGATGTAATTTTATAGTAAATCATCATTTTTTAAATATATATTTCGTAATGATTTAAAATATTTTACTTTAAAATTTCATTTCATTTCATTTTATATTACTTTATTTTTAAAAAAAAATTATGGGCATTATCGGGATAAAACAAACACTAGTTTGGTACAACTTACTTGCATTAGATAAGGTCTCCCCGATAATTTTCATATGGACCTCTTTTTTCGAGGAGGGGTAGTTCGGAATCAATAAGGAGATGACATAAGAAATTCTGTTTTAGTAAATAAGAACTAATATAAGGTTTATGTATATACACCTCCACATATGATAAGTACACTTTTTATAAATAAAAAAATATTAAAATATATTTAATTTTTTATTTTTAGTTATCTAATATTCAATTTAGTACTTTTTTATTTTTTACATACATTTTTCTCTTCTTTTTTTTTGATTCATAATATATATATCTTAAGTACACCTCTATTTTTTTTTATAATAAAAATAGATTCTTGAAATATCATAGTAGAAAATTATAAATTAAACATTAAAAATTAAATTTAAAAAATATACAGAATAAAAAATTAAAAATATTTTAAAAAAAATGTACTTATAAAAAAGTGGTGTATATATATGAACCCTAATATAAAAAGCCCAAACATCATGGATCTTTATAATCCATAACCCGCTATTGGGCTAAGGTTTGTTTCGCCTTAGATGGACTGAATCGGAATTATCATATATAGATACATATTCGACAGTTACACTATTTTATACAAATGGGACGACTATTTTGTATAAGAATATTTTTTAAATTATATATATATATATATATATATATATATATTAATAAAGAAATAAACACTTGTATGCTTATATACTTATCTTTTAAGAATTTTGAAAGAAGAAAATGATCATAGAAAATAAAAAAATAAATATTGAAATCTAAGAAAAGGTAATCTGATATATTAATAAGAGTGAGTAGTTTTTTTAAAAATAAATATAAAAAATATATAAAAAAAAACAAAATTATAAAATGTTTGATATTGTTTTAGTGGTAAAAGTTTATTGTCAAAAATGAAAGAAATATTTTTATCCAGAAGACTTATTATTAGATTTAGAGTAATGAATTTCTCCTCATATATATATATATTACATTTTAAAATTATTTTATATAATTAAGTTTTTATATAAAAGTATATTATTTAAGATAATTACATTTTTATTATTTATTTAGATAACAATGTAGGATTAGTCTTATTCAAATATTTTTTTTTTTAAAATTTCACACAATTTCATCTATTTTAGGATGAAATTAAATTTACATAGATTCTATCATAATTTTTCACAAATTCACTTCTGTAAAAAAATATATTTTTAATTATTTTATAATCCTTTTTTTTTCATTTCTCATTAAATTACCTCTCCATAATCCAAACATACCTTAATAATAAAAGAGACTATTATAAGTAATATAATTTAACTTATTTTGTTTGTTTGGGTCTTTTGTCGTTTATGTGGGGCTGGTTCGCTGACAACATTGGCTGGGTCTCTCGCTCGCCTCTTGATTCGTTTTTGGACAATGTAGCCAACTACTAACACCGTCTTTTAATTTTAAATTTATCTGCCAAAATAAAATCTATCAATATATTTAACTACTTATTTATTTCTCAGTAACTTTATAACTGATTTTAAAATATCAATGGAGGATAAGAGAAACTTCATTTAATTATTCTTATTCCGAGAATACCATTCAGTTTATGCATCTTTAGACATCTCCTAGGACAGCTGTTAGAAAACACTGACAAGTATATAGAATTACATATCACATCAAAATTTATTTCTTTCATCCAAACAAAGAGGAGGAAATCTCCAAAAATTAAAATTCCTTTCCCTTCCCCGAAGAACTCTTATTTTTAACGGACATTAATTTAAAGAATCTTGCTTCACATATATTATCACATGCCCATAACTCAATATTTAATAATTTCGTGCATAACTAAGAATTTACATGAATCGGACACAACTAGGCAATTGAAATTGTGGTGAAAGGAAGAGAGAAACAACCAAAAGAGTTGGTCCCTATTTGTTTTTATTTATTTGGTGTGTACTTATTCCGCCGTGCCACTGAGACCGATAGTTATTAATTTATAATAATACCGAAATTTAAAAAAAAAAAAAAAAAAAAAAAAAAAAAGGAAGCTAGCTTTACTAAAGTCACCGGTAGAGCAGGTGATACTCCAGGTGGCAGTATAAGAGACGCACACTTGTCGCAGACGCTACAGCTACAGAGTTTATTTTTTCTCTCTCTCCTGAAAACGAGAGTGTGATGAGGTAATAATAATAACAGCTACTAGTTGCAGTGGCAGCCAGCAAGCCGCAGCCAGC